ATGCACAATTTCCGTAGCGGCCGCCGCAAAATTACCCACACAGGGACAAGCGTATCACAGCGGCAGGTCGATGATGGATTGGTTGATTTTCGATTACCTTCGCGTTTGCCTTCGCATTTGCCTTCGCACTTGTTGGAATTATGCACGGACTCTTCACTGAAAATGGTCAGCGATCACACAGCTGTGCGCCTGAAAGTGCGCATTTCTGACATGCCAGTACAGAGGAATCACACATCCATGAAAACTGCGGCTGGCAAGTGGTCTCGTGTGTGCGAGGAAGCATACGCAAGCACATTCGAAAACGGTGCGAGCAATGTCCGCGTGTCTCCCGACCCCGAGGCGTGTCAGCAAATCGAAATTTCAATGGTCGAGTCCGCTGTGGTTTCCCAGGTCAACCATGGCAGCGGCGCCGGAGACGACGAAGACAGCGTTAATTTGCGTCGGCTGATTGCCCAGAGGAAGACCATGCGCCAAACAAGCACGGCGGACGAAACCGCAATCAGCAAACAAATTCGCAGAGAGGTTCGGGCAATCTGGCGCGCAAGGGCGTCTGCCAACATCGGTTCAATTTTGAATCATTTCAGAGGCTTGAAACGTACAGCCCAGTTGAAAACGAACAAGAAGAAACGCTTGATCACTCACATGAACGGCGACCATGGGAACGTGCACGAAGACAGACAATCGACACAGTCAACCCGCACAATGATAATGGGCAAGCTTCACGAGGGTACCTTGCATCCTTGCCTGCTCGGTCCCTCCTAAGCCACTTTTATTGGCCGCGCCCGGTTCGAAAACTTTCGAAATGGGCATCCAAGGCCCTTGCATTCTTACCGCGCATCCTTATGCTACGGGCCGACTGTAGCTAATGTGTTCGCTTATTTCTACGGGAAGCTGCACCACTCGTCACCACAGGGCATCCCCAGTGTTATGCCTTTGGAGGCGCCTGGGGGAGCGATGTTTATTTTCACTGTTGACGAATTACGGTCGAGCATCAACAGTTTGAACAGTGGCACGTGCTGCGACACCAACGGTGTGTTCGCAGCAATGATCACGCACGGCGGTCGGCGGTAAATCAGTGGAGCAATTGCTATTGCAACTTTCCATCACAGCTTTAGTGGAATATCGAGTCACCAAAAACATGAAAGCAATTTGTTGGCAGCGTGATCGACAAAAATGGCGGCTCTTCCCAGGCGAAAAACTACAGACCAATTGCGGTCATTATTTGATTGTGCAAGCATCTCGCGACATTGTTATACGCCAGATTACACCCAATTCTTGACCGGCGCCAGAGAATCGACCAGGCCGGTTCCCGGCACAATTCGAACACAATGCATCACGTGCTCGCAGTTACGCTGCTCCAGGAGAAGTGCCACGAATGGCAGAATAATTGGTGGGTGAATGCAGTCAATTTCGAGAAAGCTGTTGATTGCGTGGAGCACGACAGTAGATGACAAGCATTATCCAAGCAAGGGCCTCCCGATGGTTACGCGCGATAGCTGCGGACGCTATACGCCGACCAACCAGCTCGAGTTCGAATGGATAATTTGAGCAACCCGAGGATGCGCCTCGTCGGCGCCCACGCCCGCTCGCGTGCGCCTCGTGGGCGCCATTGTTCGTCGGGTGGGCTCCCCGAAGATGCGCTGCGCTGGCGCCCGTGCCCGCTCGTGGACTCGTCGCGGGCCCCCCGCACCGTCAAGTCGGGCCTCTCCCCCTCTTACAGGGGGAATATTCAGAAGCAGTTGAAACATAGTCTGGGGACCATTTTGGGGCTATTCGATGTTTGGGATATGTTTGGAGTATGTTCTGACTTGTTGTTATTGGTCGTCCAAAATCGGCCTGTATGGGGTGGCACGCCCGACCCAACCGTGCCGTGCTGACTGTAAGCGCTGAGCGAGCTGTCGAGTGCAAGACGATGCCGGCGCAGCACGAGCGCGCGGTGGCAGCCGAGCGTGCCGCAGGCATTGGCGATCACCCGCGGTGCGGTGCGTGTTTCGTTGTTGTTGTTGTTGTTGTTGTTGTTGTTGTTGTTGTTGTTGTTGTTGTGCTTGTTGTTGTTGTGCTTGTTGTTGCTGTTGTGCTTGTGGTTGTTGCTGCTGCTTCTATTGTTGTTGTTGATGTTGTTGGTGTTGCTGCTGCTGATGTTGTTGCTGCTGTTGTTGTGATTGTTGGTGTTGTTGTTGTTGCTGATGTTGTTGTTGTTGTTGTTGTTGTGGTTGTTGTTGTTGTTGTTGTTGTTGTTGTTGTTGTTAATGTTGTTGTTGCACCACCACCTTGACCTCCGCCCGGCATTGGGTGCGGGCAAGTTTTGCATCGATATCCATTGCGTCTTGGACCTTCTGGGAAGTGGATAGTCGTAAACTTTAGCCTGTAGCGGCCAGATTTGTATCCCTGTCCTTTGCGCTTCTGGTTTCTGGGGAAGGGAACCGGAAACTCCAACACGCAGTGGATATGGATGCAATTTTTGCCCGCACGGGGTCATGAAAAGGCTCGCGCCATGGGGGATGCTCATCGCTGCTGGAGTTGCCCGAGTGCCCGACGGCGCTGCCGCAGGGCCTCGTCTTGACGGCCAGCACGCCCGACTTGCCTTCCACACGGCCCTCAACTTTGACAATATTCGGTAGCAAATCATGGAAGCCTTGTATGCCCTCGGAATTTCGTCTTTGGTGAATGCACCAGCGCGCGCTAGCGCGTGGTACTACTCGATGAGGAAGCGCCGATGTTAGCCGTTTTTAGCGCCGGTTCGTCTCGAATAGCGTCGATCAGCGTCGATCATCGTCGATTCACAAGAGCCAGCCAGATGGTATGGGAGGCTCCGATGATTTGCCACCGACGACAATACCGAGGCTCAGCGCGGAATTCTGAACAGTTGGGTCGCCAGTGTGATTGCGCACGTCGGCCCGCCTTCCGAGGATCATGTGCTTTCAAAGAGCGGTTTGCTGAGCTACCTCCGATCCTTGATGACGGATGAGATCGCGAGCATGAGCAAGTACGCACATGTGGATATCGCTTCTTATGCAGGCACCAGGGACTTCCAGTGCGAGCACATTCGGCAAAGCACGCCGATGAATAGTGTTGATGGTATGTGGGCGAACATGTTTGTCCCAGACACTGTGCCACGGCCATACACCTTGATTGTGGATAAGATTCGTTTCGAAGAACAAGGCGAAGGTGACCTGAAGAAGAATCATCCCTGGATGTGGGGTCAGACAGCGGCCAGTGTTGGATTCGAGTTTCCGCCAGTGGCTTCTCGTGATTTCGCATATAACTCTGATTTTCGAGATCAGTCGTTCTGGAATGCCGCCTTGACTGCCTCTGTGGGCAGGTTGCACGGTTGGATTCCAGAAACACTTGGCATGATTGCGTTTCTCGAGATGCGAAGCTCTGCTTCATGTCACCGCCAGGTCTTATTCATGAAGCATCATGGGATTGATTTGATAGGTTTACGCCATTCCGCCAGCCCCCAGACAGATACATGTGCGGTCTCCGATTTCGTAAGCGTTGCTTGCGCGTCCCGTCCTGCTGCCTGCGTGCTCTTGTTGTTGGTCAGTCCCCCTCTTCGTCCGACTCTGTTGCGGGGCCTCTCGGGGGGTCTCTTCGGAGCCTCGGGGGCAGCCTCCTGGGACTTTCCTCAGGGCTCCCGGTTGCTGCTTACTGCCCTCTGAGGGCTTCGTGGGGATCTTTTTGGGGCATCTTGGAGGCATGCTGGGCGTGCGGGGGCCCACTGCCATGTTGCGGGGGATGGCACCCGGGGCCCTTACGAGTTCCCCCTCCAGGGCCTCCCCGGCCTCTCTCTTGGAGCCCTTTTGAGATCGTCTGTGGCCGTGTTGGGGCCCTCTTGGGCCGTCTCCAGACCCTCTTGGGAGCCTCCTCACCGGCCGTCTTGGGCCAAAGTTTGGGGCCTCTCGGACCGTCGCAGGGTTCAGAGCCCCTTGAAACAGCGGGAGTGCGAACATCATTCCATCACCTCGGGAACAATGCTGTTTGCCGCTCGAGGCCGTCTTGCGGGTCCTCTTGGGCGCTGTCTGGGTGTCTAGAAGGATTCTTGGGCCGTCATGGGGCCATCTTGAATGGTTTGGATCAGAGCGTGAATTACCTATCCCGCTTTCGCTTCCAGGCAAAACCAAGCCATACCACGCGCCCCCTCGTCAAGCGGCCTGACCAGTACAGGCTGGAATTTGGCATCGTTTGGTATCTCCTGGAAGCGAGGGTGGTCAAAAGCGAGGTAGGTTTGTTTTCCCCCTATTGGAGGCCTCTCCATCGCGTTTGAGTTCCTCTTGAGCCATCTTGGAACGCAGCTCGAGCATCCTGAAAGCCGCGGTGGGTGGATTCGGAGGCTCCGATGGCCAGGGTGGCGCGCCGGGGAGGAGCTCGTACACCCTTAAGGGATTTTGGACCCCATGGAATCGGCAGAGGGAAAGGAGGAGGGGGAGGAGGGGGAGGAGGAGGAGGAGGAGGAGGAGGAGGAGGAAGGAGGAGGAGGACAGCCAAATGTCTCACGCCTTCTCACCTCCAGTCAGCGGGGGTCAGCGGATTTCAGTTACTACCAAGTGCACCGTAGCATCGACAACCCTCATACAGGGCATGGCTCTCAGATTCTTGATGCGATCGATGATTACATGTCCGGGTTTGCAAGCCCAGAAGAGGAGCAGGAGATGGCGTTGCGGATCTACAAAGGCTACCACTCTTTTGAGTTCACCATACATGCTGTGTATGAGGCGATCGAGGAACATCTGCCTACAGGCGGTTGCCCAGGTAAGAAGTCTCCTAGAGCTGACAGTGCATGCAGTGTTGATTCGAATCGTTCCGCAATAAATCAACAGCCTTCTGCATTGAGTATTGGTTCGGATCGTTTCGCAACCAGACAGAATTATGCTGCATCGAGTGATAATTCCAATCGTTCCCCGGCCAGTCATCAGCCTGTTATATTGGGTGTTGCTTCCAGTCGTTCTGCAAATGGTACTGCACCTGGCACCCCTGTGGCTTACTCCACAGAGCGCATCGCAGAGCTCGACAAAGCGATGGAGCAATTCATCGCTAGGCATCCCTTAGCCTATGCGGCTCACCGTGGCCCTGAGCATAAGCTTTTGCAGACGCCTGGCGTCATGGTTTCGTACCTGCGCCGTCGCTGCCAGCTTTTTCCGGCGGGAAGCCTCAGCGACACACCTTTCTTGCGTCTCTTCGACTTCGGTGGTCCCATGTATGGTGTCGGAACGAGAGACGACCGAGCTCTCTTGCAGGAGTTCGCAGGGCTCAACCAGTACTTGTGTGTTGTGCCAGAGAAGGCATGACGGAAGCCAGTATGCGAAGGGGAAGGAGGACATACAGATGTCCATTGCACTCGCAGGGGCTTCTCTGTGAAAAAGGAGGGGGGATGAACGAGCAGAGCAGGAGGACAGAGAAGGGCGAACGAGAGAGGAAAGAGGGAGGGGGCATGGATGTTTGGAGTGGAGGTTTGAGGCGAGTGATGGAAGGAGGCAGAGCAGGGGAGGGCGCGAGTGAGGGAAGGACGGTACGGAATGGAGAGGGGGGGATGCTGGGGGGGAGGAGGGTTGGAACGGGGGGATTTCCTCGAGCTCGATTCGGGGGAGAAAAAGATACGGATACGTGTTGTCCCCCTTCGTTTTCGGCCTTTCCTGGTCCTCCTGGGGAATCCTCGTTGTCACCGCTGGATTCGCCTCGAAATTCTGGTCAGAACGCACCCCAAGAGAGGTCCGGGGACAACACGTATCCGTATCTTTCCGCCCCCCAACCGATTGTCAGTGGGCTTATTCGCTCGCGATCAGCGCCAGTGCCGACGTTGCATGCGGCCAGACGGGCCGACGTTTTGCCAGCCAGTGGCCCCCAGATCGCTTGGCAAGGGACTTTTGCGCATCTTCCACATCACGGGGTGCTGTTGCACGGCAGAGCAGCGCGCGTGGCAGCAGCCGTTGCAGCCGTTGGCAGCAGCAGGTGAGATCAGCGTCTCTGCACGAACTGCAGCGACTGTTTTTTTTTCTTGCATGTCGTATCACACGCTGCGCTTTAAGCAGCTTTTCGCAGCGCTCGGCACTCCCCCCCGCGAGGGCTGCGCGCATTGGACCCTAAGGGCGATTCACAGGCGGTCTCGGTCTGCGTCTGGGCAGTGACGCGGCAAAGAGCTCGGCCTCACAGCGCATCAGGTGGGAGCCCACGGAGGCAAGCAGTCTCCTCCCCTGGGTGTCTTGTGTGTCGATGGTTTTGCTGTGGAAGGCGTGTCGTCCCCACACTGAACATCAATGGACCCAAGGAGGAGGAGGAGGAGGAGAAGGAGGAGGAGTAGGAACGGCGGCCGGCGGACGATGGCTGTGCCGCGAAGACGTTCTCCATCATCACATCATCTTCACGGGCAGCTATAACTTGCGAGTGGGCCTTGCGGCCAGGGAGAAGTCCTTTCAGGAGACGCGCCAGGTTCGACGTTTCTTGCTGGGTGGGTGTTCGCACAATTGATGCATGTCTGAGGCAAACGGAGGGGACTTGCATAAGACACGCACACACATAGGTGAATATGCACAAACATCTATACATATGTATATCGAAGACGCCCACGGCGAATCACCGCCGAACCCTGCCTTTTAGAATCGCCCATGTGGCCGAGCGTTTTGGCAAGATTTCTTCCAAGCTATCGGACTATGTGTTGACCCAACCATCGTAGAAACCCTTCGGAGAATACTTGGGGCAGGATGGCGGGGAAGGGAGAAGGAGAAGGGGGAGGAGGATGAGGATGATGAGGATGATGAGGATGATGAGGATGATGATGATGATGATGATGATGATGATGATGAGGAGGAGGAGGAGGAGGAGGAGGAGGAGGAGGAGGAGGAGGAGGAGGAGGAGGAGGAGGAGGAGGAGGAGGAGGAGGGGGGGGAGGGGACATTTTGGGAGCCTCTGGGGGTTCTGGGCGAGGAATTGTCGGGTGGGGGGCCTCAAGACCAGAGTTCCCAGGAGGGTGCGGGGGTCGGACCACGTGGACGGCAAGGTCGGTTCCTGAGCTAGATCTGGTCGCGCGGGCGGTCCCAAGAACAGAGCCCCAAGGACGGTGCGGGGGTCGGGCCGGGTGGGCGGCAGGGTCTGCTCTTGGGCAGAAGTTGCCGGGTGGTGGGTCGCAAGAACGAAGCTTCTAGGATTGTGCGGGGGTCGGACCAGGTGGGCGGCAGGGTCGGCTCCAGGCGAGGAACTCTCGGGTCGGAGGTCTCAAGAACACGGCTCCCAGGAGGGCGCGGGGTTGGACCAGGTGAGCAGCAGGGTCGGTTCCGGAGCAGGGATTGTTGGGTGGGGGGCGGCGAGACCAGGGGTCCCAAGACGGTGCGAGAGTCAGACCAGGTGGACGGCAGGCTCGGTTCCTGGGCCAGACATGGTCGCGCGGGCGGTCCCAAGAACAGAGCCCCAAGGACGGTGCGGGGGTCGGGCCGGGTGGGCGACAGGGTCTGCTCTTGGGCAGAAGTTGCCGGGTGGTGGGTCGCAAGACCGAAGCTCGTAGGATTGTGCGGGCGTCGGACCACGTGGGCGGCATGGTCGGTTTTGGGCTACAGTACGTGGCGATTGTCGGGCGGAGGGTTCCATGAAGAGAGCTCCCAGGACGGCGCCGGGGTCGGAGCAGGCGGGCGGCAGGGTCGGGGCGGGCGGTCCCGAGAACAGAGCTTTTAGAGGGCGGTGCGGGGATCGGACCAAGGGGGCGGCGGCGTGGGCCGGGTGGGCGGCAGGGTCGGTTTGCAGGCGCGGAATTGTCGGGTGGGCGGTCCCAAGCAGAGCCCCCAGGGCGGTGCGGAGTACGTCGGACCAGGTGGGCGGCCGAGTTGGGTTCCGGGGCCAGAAGTGTCGCACGGGGAGTCCCAAGAACAGGGCTCCCAGGATATATTGTGTGGGGGTAGGGCCAGGTGGGCGGCGGGGTCGGTTCTGGGCGAGACGCGTGTCGATTGGGGAGGGAAGCTCTCTGCATCCCCGAAGACGGAGGCACCTTGGCCCTCCCCCCTCCCCCGCCCCTATCTCCCCATCCTCACGGCTGACCAGCTGGCCCATGTCGCTGCCCATCGCGCGGCAGTTCGGGAAAGGCGTCGTAAGCGCATCGCCCCCTGGCCAGGTCAACCGGTATCTCCGTTCTAACATTTGAGTGTTGCCTCATAATGCCTTGAGGTGTCCAGCGATACTTGCCAGAACGGAGCACGTCTTCGCGACGAAGCCATCGTCCGCCGCCGCTGTTTCTCCTCTTCCTCCCCCTTATCCTCCTCCTCCTCCACCTCCTCCTCCTCCTCCTGATCCTCCTCCTCCTCCTCCTCCTCCTCCTCCTCCTCCTCCTCCTCCTCCTCCTACGTCAAGTCGAAGGGGGGAGGAGCTGCTTCTGCTGCTCTCTCTGTTCCTGCTCTCTGTCGCCTTCTCATGCCTCCCCTGCCACCCCCCTCTACCGTGCGCGCGCGCGCCCCTGAGCGAGGCGATCAAGCAGCTGGAGGACATGGCCATGGGGTACGCGATGCACACGCACGAGTTGGAGGCTGGCGGCCCACATCAGTGCCAGTTCTGCTCCTGGGGCTGGTGGCCATGCGGTGGGCTCCCGCGTCGTGCCGGTATACGGTGTAGGGTGGAGACCACGGGCCCGGGCGCTCGTTAAGCGGACGCTGCCGGTGGGGCTCGGCGAGTTAGGCGATCACCGCCCACCAAGCCACCCCGACCAAAAATGCTCCACGCATATCCTCTTCATGATGAAGCTCCTGGGTTCGGAGGCGTGCCGTCATCAGTGAGATCTTCCTCCAAATCAGCCCGAAGGCCCCAACTGGTCCCCCATGCCCAGCGGGGGGGGAGGGAAACACTGCAAGAACACACGTGGAAGGCGTAGCCTCCACAACCTAAAATTTGGATTTTCGGGTTTGGTTGGGGTGATCTGGTAGGTAGTCAGGCCGATCGGTCGGGATTAAGCGGGGTTTAGCGAAGTGCGCCGATCACGCAGCCACGCTTCTAACTTTCAAAGCACGTGCGCCCGAAGCTCCCATCCACAGTACCACACTCACTGAGGGATAGTTTCCCCCCACCTGCCCCCTTGAGACGAAGGCTCACGCCATCAGCTGCTCCAGGAGGACCGCCTTCGAGCCCGAGACCGGGAGCCCCCTGCCCGGCACATCGCTTTCAACTCCTCGGTCTTCTTGGCCATGGGCTTTTCTGGTCCGTGGAGCAGTCCGCCCCAATGTTGGAGGATCCACGCGGTGTGAAAGACCAGCGCCGACGCAGTCACGGCACGGATCTGCCTTTTGCGCATCCACCGTTGGGACTTTGGGAAGGCGTCGGATTTGGATCAGGGTATGGATATGGATATGTATGCATGAATGCATGCATAATTCAAGCACACACACATATATATATATATATACATATATTCTCATACGCACCTCTCCGAGGGAGTAGAGCTCAGAGGGGATTAATGCGTCCGTGCGTCCGTGCGTGCGTGCGTCTTCGATTTTCCCGGCCGTTTCGCTCGGGACATCCTCGAAATTCTGAAAATCGGTGGCACCCCTCACGCAGATCGTGAAGGAGAGGTCCAAAAACACATAGGAATTCAACCATTTCTGCATCAAACCTTCAAAAACACATGGTAATTTCAATAATTTTGACCCCGATTCTCAGAGAATGGCGGTTTCGCCTGAGACATCCTCCCAAAATCGAGCCCCAGACCCCTCCTCGGAGCCTCCTGGGGGCCTCCTGGAACCTCCTGGGGCCTCCTGGGGCTTTCTGGACCTTCTGGTACCCCAGACCCCGCCTCGGAGCCTCCTGGAGTTCTCCTGGGCCTGCTGAGGCCGCCTGGGGCCTCCTGGGGCCTCCTGGGCTTCAGAACTACATGCACACACAGAGACACAAATCACGCCCAACACATCACACGCTAGACAAACATAACATACACACACACAACACCGACAACACAAAAAGCACGCACCACACAAAGCACACATCACACACACAACACTCACAATCCTGGGGCCTCCTGGAGCCTCTTCTGGTATCCAAGTCGGGCCTCCTGAGGCTTCCTGGGGGGCCCTGGTACACACATCGCAGGGTGTGGCAACCCCACTTGCGCTCGAGTGCGACTTCGCTGTTGCATGTCACTCCTGCTTCAAACGCCCCTTCAGCTTGTTGTATGAGCCTGGGCACACACGTGCCACTTGTATACACATGTCGATCCATGCGTGTACACAATCATACGTGTATATGCAATCATGCGCGTATAATCGCCAAGGGTGGACCCCACATAGTGACTTTCTGCAGCCCATGCAGTGCAATCTAGGTGGTGCAACCAATGTTGTGCAATCTCGGTGATGCAATTTACGAGGTGTATGTGTGTGATGGAAAGCGACGCAGAG